AGAGAGAGAGAGAGAGAGATTGGTTGCCTCCCACAGGTACCACAACTAGGAGTTGAACCCGAAACCTGGCCATGTGTCCTGCCCAGGAATGAAACAGGCAACCTTTTGGTGCCTAGGACTACACTCAACCAACTGAGCCACACTGGCCAGGGCCAGAGTGATGTTTTTAAATGCATACAATAAAATGTGTAGCATAGCAAAGGAAATCAATTACATTGAAATACAGTTACCAAGATATTAAAAATATAAGTTTGTACTATAATAAATTATGTGTATTTTTATACTGTTCTAAATAATAAGATCTAGCGGAAGGTCCAGTGACGGCTATACTTCCATAGTGATGAGCATACATGATATCTCCAGAGATCTGCCACAAGTGTACGGCGATATGAACATACCACAAGGACACTGTGGTTTGTTGCCTTCATTCCTAATGGAAGGAAATGGTAACTTTCAGTTAGAGGTTAGTGAATAAAGTTGTGATGTATTCCCCATGCAAGTTCATGAATCTCTGAGTTCTGCCCACGGGCCCTTGTGAAGGGATTGCTAAGTGAAGGGGAGCCAGGTAGATGAAATGCTGAGTCTGCACACAGTCCTCACAGTCTTCACCCACCCACTTCCTCAGAGCCTGACTACAATACAAAAATCTCCTATAATCTGTTAGCAGAGTCACAGAAGCACAGGCTTTCAGAGTGATGCTTTAAAATGCATACAATGAAATGTGTAGCATAGCAAAGGAAGGGCCAGACCCCTTAGGCAGATGCTCCTGTTGGATGACCTGACTCTTTGCTTCTGCTCGCACACCTCTATGGATGGGGAGCTCACTCTCACTCTGGATTGGATAGCTTCAACGTCTCTGAGCTATGACAACATACAGAGGTGAATCAGACCTAGGCTCTGTCCCCACAGCTAGAGGATAGAGAGAGAGAAGGATCCAACCAGCGCTAAAATGCTTTATTTACTCAATCATTCTCCGAGCTTCCAATAGCTGTCAGGCCAGAGGTGGGTACTGAATATACTGAGACTTACTTTCATAAAGTATTTTCTGGATGTATGCTCAGGCATGGTGTTCTGTACCTGGGGAGACAGACCAAGTGAGGAAACACAGACATCAGTATGTAATTGCAATTTGTGATAATGGCTGTACAGAGATGAGCAGGGAGGACACACACAAGAAGTAACTGCAGATGGGAGAGAGGAACAGTGAAAGAAAGCCTCTTGGCGAAAGTAACTTTTAAGCAAGACTTGGAGGATCTGCTAGCATCTGATGGGCAAATGGGACAGGAAGACGGGGAAGATGGGTGCAGGCAGAGGGAAGAGCAAATGTGAAGAGGCCTGATGCAGGAGAGCGCTGGGCTATTGTTAGGACTGGCAGGAGGCACGGGGGCCAGATGAGGCTGGAGAGAGGGGTAAGGGCAGGTTGTGGGGTCTTCAAGCCCAGGCTAAGGAGTTTGCATATTATCTTAAGAGTCATTGGAAGCCCTTGAGGGGTTTAAGCAGGATCTCTTTGAATGAATAAAGCGAAGTCTCCAGGTGCTCTTAGGCTTATAGCAAAGACATTAATGAGACAAAAATATTATAAGAATGAGCAAAAGAAGCTTTTCTTTTTGTGTTCTCAACACTCTTCTTGAATGTACTATTCTGCTTTCTCTTGCTACAGTGTGGGATGGAGCTGGACTCTGCCACCTGCTGGCAACAACTGGGATGTCAGGCAGGATGAGGTGGGCAGAAAGGTGATAGGGGGAAGTCTAGGCCCCCTTGGGCTTTTCTGAAGGGTAAGTGCACAGGATAAGCTACATGGAGGGCCTGAGGGAGTCTCATGATTCAGGATGGCGGAACTGGGCTGGGAACAGGAGGAAGGAACTGAGCATGGATGGAGCAGCAGCTCAGAGATGAGGACATAGGGTCCAGCCCTATGGGGCTGCTGAGGTCTGAGTCCAGATTTTGGCTCCAAGCCAGACCACTGAGGGGGAGAGGAGGAGGCAACCTGTTGCCATGGGGACCAGGGCTGTGTCCATACAGATGGGGAGATGACCCCCCTCAGTTGTATGAGGACACCCAGAGAGCAGGGACCAGCCTCAGAGCCAGTGTCCACCCACACTCCTCTTTCCGGAACAACTTGTTTTTCTCTAAAGCTTGGGACTTTGACCTGGGAGGTGTGTTTTCCTCCTGTTGGTCACCTGATGTCCTTCCTGCTTCTCCCACTCTCCATCCCCCTCCCCCCAAAAGCATGGCCCAGGGAATCCTTGTGCTTCCCCAGATTCTTTTAGGGAAGTGCTGCTCAGGTAAGGGAGGCAGGACCTGGGACTTGGGGACTGATGGGAGAGGCTGGGCTGCTCTTGTGAGTCACTGGCCAGAGGGGGCTCACAGCAGCGACTTCCCTGTCTATGTCTTCTTGGATTCTCCTTTCTGGGTTTCTGGGACACCCCTTCTTCTGGGGTTTCCTCCTCCTGCTCCATCCTGATTCCTCTTTCATGAAAGACCCTTATGTGTCCTGGCTTCTCACTGCTTCCCTCCTTACCCCTGCATCTCTCTCTCTCTCTTTCTCTCTCTCGCTCTATCTCTCTGTGTCTCTGTCTATGTCTGTCTCTCTGTCTGTCTCTGTCTGTCTCTCTGTCTCTGTCTCTCTGTCTCTGTCTATGTCTGTCTCTCTGTCTGTCTCTGTCTGTCTCTCTGTCTCTGTCTCTCTGTCTCTGTCTATGTCTGTCTCTCTGTCTCTCTGTCTCTGTCTCTCTCTATCTCTGTCTCTCTGTGTCTGTCTCTCTATCTCTGTCTTTGTTTCTCTCTCTGCTCTCTCTCTCTCTCTCTCTCTCTCTCTCTCACACACACACACACACACACACACACACACACACGGCCTGGGAGACTGGCAACTCTCATGTCTCAGTTACCCATGCTGTACCACAGATGGCTCCTGGATCTAGCTCTCTATTCCTGGGATCTGACTGCCTTCTGGACTTTTCCCTCTGGAGGGCCAACAGGCACCATAAGCACAATACTTCCAAGCCTGTAGCTCATCATTCCTCCCCACATCTAGAAGCTTGCTCTGCCTTGTCCTGGACACCACCTTTCACCAGCCACCCAAGCCAGAAACCAGGAATCACCCTCAGCTCCTCCTTGTTTCCCACCCACTCCCAGCTAGTAACCATGTTCGAGCAGCCACGGCCCCTCATAAAGAGGGCTCAGATCTATTCCTACTGCCACTCCCCGGTGCAGGCCACAGCCCAGTTGTGTGGCTCTGTATAGCCTCCCCTGTTCTCCCTTTCTCCAATCTTTGCATTCCCCTTTCATTCTCTACTCTCTGTCCAGAGGTGTTTTCAAATGCAAACCTGACCGAACTCCCTTGCTTAAAACTCTCGAAGAAGGCATTGTGGATGTTTGTTAAATGCAACCCCATTCCTTGCATTCCAGTCAGTGAACCTGTGGCTGTTCATTAACATGCATGGTGCCAACTCTAGACAAACTTTGTGCCAGAAGATTCTGAGGACACCAAGCTGGGATAGGGAGGCAGAACAGAATATCCATGTATGGAGGGGCCACTGGACTATAAGCCAAGCCTCCCTGGATCACCTTGAGACACCCCATCTTTGGATGGAAATGGGCCCCCTGCAGTGCCATGTGCACACCCACACTCATGCACATAGGGGAAGCAGGGACGAGGCGTAAAGTCTGAGTTTTAGCCCTAGAAGACCTGTCCTGCAGGAGAAAGGGCTGCCCAGAAGATCCTGTGGGCAGCAGTCTGGTGGCTTCTGGTGGCTTCTGGCCAGGGAAGCTGTGGAGGGGTTTCTAGCTTATGCTCTGGCTTCTGGGAACACCCCCTCCCCCCACTTCTAAGACTTTGCCCCTGTCTGCTGGCTCCTTCTTTCTTGGTGTCTCTAGTACTGGACTCTCAGCATCCCTGGCTTCCTGTACTCCCAGGACTTGTGGGGCAAGGAGACCCTGTGTAACCTTGGCCCCAGGCCTCAACAGGCACTTGAGTCATTCTCAGTTCCTGAGCTGGGGACCGATGAACTCCATATATTTTGAGGGCTGAGGCCCAGATTGGATCTTGACACCTGAGGGTGTCCTTCCTTTGCCCTCCACAGGCCAGCTGTGATCTCCCACTCATCTCCCTGTGATGGGTGGAAGTGGGCCAGCTATATGTGGAGAGACTTCTGATCAAGCCCAGATCTTGTTCCAGGGAAGCTCCACCCAGATCCCAGGAACCGCATCTGGGGCCAAGAGGAAGAGCTGAACTGAGCCAGGTCAGCGGGGCTGGGTAGAGAAGGCTGGGGCCTGGGAACCTTAGCCCCCTTAGCCCATGGGAGAGGGTGGATTTAGAGAGCTACTGTGCAGCGCCGGGCAGAGAGAGACAGAAGCCAGGTCTGTGAGTCAGACTGTGTCCCAGGACGAGGTCTTAGCTGAATAGGGACAGGTAAGAGGAGAAGAGGAAATAGGCCAGGCTCTGCGGGAGGGGTAGCTTCGACATTTCCCTGGCCTCTGGGGTTTACCTCACTCTCCCCCTGCCAACCAGCAAATTTCTTAATCCTCCTGTCTGCCTTCTGAGGAGCCCCACCCAATGGGCTCATTCAGGGCAGAAGCAATAATGTGTCACTCTTCCCAGAGCCCAGCTTCCCTGCCAGGAAGGGGGAGCTGATGTAAAAACTCTGGGGAGACCTTGGGTTTGGAGGTGAGGTCCCAATTCACCCCATATCCCCCTGGTCCGTGGCTCTCCCCACATCCCCCTGGTCCGTAGACCCACTTCCTTAGCCAGACTCTGAAAGGTGACCTCACATGCCAGCTTCAGTGGGCTGGGCACCCGCCAGGGAGGCCAGGCCTGGCAGCTCATTACCATGGGAGGGAGGGCAGTTTCTCTGCACTTTCCTCCTCCTCCCACTTTGCCTTCTTCCTTACCAGCTCCAGGGCCAGACTTCGGGGCTACGCTTTGGCTGATCTCAGCACACACCACAGACCTCACAGATCCCAGCAGCCCACAGGAGTCCCGAGAGCTGCCTGCAGCCATGTCAGCCCTCAGCCTGCTCATTCTGGGCCTGCTCTCCGCAGTGCCACCCGCCAGCTGTCAACAAGGTGAGCATAGTACTGGCCCACCAGGGGCTGTGATGCAGAGGGCTGGGCTGGGTGCTGATGCCCAGGGGTGGATGAGGGGTGTCTTCTGGCCTCTGTCACCATCCTTGACACCTGCAGCTTGGATAGGGGAGCAGAGACTGGAGTCGTGGAGGAACCTACAAAGGCCAAGACCTTGGAGCCAGATTTCGGTCTGACTCTCTTTTCCATGAGTGAGAAGTGCAGACAACAGGGGAAATGCTGGGTCTAGGATTGGGGAGAGGCGTTGAGACACAAGCTCTAGGAGCAAGAACGTCCCTAGAGATAGCTGGGTCCTGAGAGCAGGGTTTGGGCTGAGTCACTTGTGCCAGGGGAGGGGCCGAGCTGTCACTTGTGCCCATGGCTTTGGCATAAGTCCTCATTTTAGTTTCCTGGGCTTTGGTAGGGGGCAGTGCTCCAGTGTGGCCCCCACCACGTACCTGAGTTCTTTGTCCAGCTCTGCCTCTGTCTTACTGTGTGGCCTTGAGCAAATCACTACCCCTCTCTGAGACTCAGCTTTCTCATGAATTATATGAGGACAATAAAGCCGCCCTGCCTACCTGCTTACTGTGGCTGCCGTGTCAGGGGCATGAAAGAGCTTGGCACCAGTGAAGTACCACACCCCAAGATTTGGTGTCTGCCCTGCACTGTGAGGCTATACCTGCAGCCTAAGTCTGGACTCTTCTCTCCTACCCCAAGCTCTGCCCCTTGCTCTGCATCTCACCCAGAGCCACAAGGGAGTTGGCTGCCTTGTTCAGAGGAAGCAAGGAGAGGACCCCCTGGGCTTGAGCCCTAACTCCCAAACCTTGAGCAAACACTAACCTGAGGAAACAATGTGTCTAAACCATTGCTTCTTGGGGAAAACAATGAGTGCAAAACATTGCTTTTTTGGCAAGTATGGAACGCAGGGTAACCACACTGTGAATCTTCTGCTACCCAAGGAGAGAAGCAAGACCTGACATGGCCATCGGCCAAAGAGTTCCAAAACCCCGCCTCCTACTCAATACCTGCCCGGCTCAGAGGGAGCTGAGAAGAGGGGGGCCTTCACTCCTGCAGGAGGCTGTAGGATAGACTCAAGGAAGGACTTTCGAGTGAGTCAGAGTGAGATTTTTGATGCCCAGCCTGGCTCCTCAAAATAGAGGATGGCACTAGGATGCTGGTGTTTGGGCTGGAGGCAGGAACACTCGGAAGCCACCTGCTAGCCTCTGTCCCCTCCTGAGACCTCTACCTCCTGCTGCACGCATGTCCTCTGTGGAGCTACACTCCTCAGGCTCATGGAGCTCAGTGATGCCTGGGCAGTTAAGAGCCCTTTGGGGCTGCCAGTGGCTGAGGACAGAGGCTTCTGAGAAACTTTGAGGGTTAGAGGTGGTGTCAAGGGTTAAACATAACCCTTAAGGGTCAAAAGGTAGACAGGTGCATGAATGATCCCTCACCCCCTGAGCACGTGGCTGGAGGAGCTGAAAGGGGTCAGGTTTTTTGTTGTTGTTGTTGTTTTTTAAAATATACTTTATTGATTTTTCACAGAGAGGAAGAGAGAGGGATAGAGAGTTAGAAACATCGATGAGAGAGAAACATCAATCAGCTGCCTCTTGCACACCCCCTTCTGGTACATGCCCTTGACCGGAATCGAACCCGGGACCTTTCAGTCTGCAGGCTGATGCTCTATCCACTGAGCCACACCTGTTTCGGCAGGGGTCAGGTTTTGAAACCTCCTTTCTGGCCCCCAAGATTCAGAGGAGAGCCCCTCTGTCTCGCGTTTTGTTCCACCTCTCTCTCTGGGCACCTGGGCACCCATAGCTGAGCAGCAAGCCTGTCTCTCATTCCCATGCCCCACCCAGCACTAGGAACACTCCTGCCACAGAACAGGATCTTCCGGATGCCAGCCCGGTCTGTCAGCACAGAGCTCCCCAGCCTGCTGGGAGCCAGGGAGGAGGGTTGCCACCCCTGGCTGTCAGGCCTAGGCCGGCTGTGCAGGGGGCTGCCTTTGGTCCCTGTGGCCCAGACACTCCCTATGGGCCCTGCAGGTGACCCATGATGTGGGGTCACCTGGGCCACCTTGATCTCAGACACAGTATTATGAGACCTGTTCCCTCCTCAGCACCTCATTCCTCCTTAGAACCCATGTCTTCCTTCCTCCAAACCTCCATTCCTTTCTTCAGCTCAGTGGAGTGTCAGATGGATCCTCTTTCTCACCCCTGCCACCCAGAATGTCTCCTCTGGCCCTCACAGCTGACTGATGACCTCTAGCCCAGGCCCCAGCCCTTGGGGTGGAAGGCCCTCCCCCTGCTCTGTTCTCACAGCCCCACTGTGGCCAGATCACTGGAGCACCCCATCCCCCTCCTCCAGGCCTGGGGAACCTGCAGCCCTGGATGCAGGGCTTGATTGCCATGGCTGTGTTCCTGGTCCTCGTTGCAATTGCCTTTGCTGTCAACCATTTTTGGTGCCAAGAAGAGCCGTGAGTGCTTCCTGGGGACCCCGGGGGCTGGGCTACCATGAGCAGGGTGGCCCCAGGATCATGGCTACTGCTCCAGCAGAAACCTTGGGTCCATTCCTCCCACAGTGTGAAAGGGACAATGAGGCCCAAAGTCTTAGGCTACAGCACCAGCTCACTGGCTCCCAGACCTGTCTGTGAGGCCCCAGTGCTGTGTGTTCACTCACTGGGAGGGCGGGGAAATGGCTTCTCTTCTCCAAGTCCCATCGATTTTATCTGTATAGTTGGGACAGCTGCCAGGCCCATGATGGAAAGGAAGGCTCTGTCCTTCCTGGGGGTCAGCTGCTGTGCCACACGCGGGGGTATTGAAGGGCAGTGGGACAGACACCCCCTGTGCTCACAGGCTCCCCACTGACAAGAGAGGCAGATCTGAAAGCAGCTGGCAGAGGTACAAGTACTGCCGCTAAGGGGAGAGCAGAGTGCGGTGCAGGCCTGATCCGTCTGAGGAGCAGGGGTGGTCCAAGAAGGCCTCCATTGCACCTCTACCCCAAAGCCAGTCTCAGAATAGGGTGGCCTGGGATGGAGACTGGAGTCAATGAAGAGTACCCAGGGATCTTGAGTTAGAGGCAGGGCACCAGAGGTAGAAGGGCTTGGCTGAAATCCGCCCTCTGGGCATTTGCTCCCTGGTGGTCAGTGCACTCCCACAAGGGGAGTACTGCTTAACCAGAAGCCGGGCTCATGGCTGGTGAGTGCAGAGGTGGTGGCTGGAGCCTCTCCCACCTCCATGGTAATGCTAAGGATGTCCGACTGCTGGCTTAGGGGAGTGGGCCTAAGCTAGCAGTTGGACGGCCCCAAGGGCTCCCAGACTGTGAGAGGGCACAGAGTGGGCTGAGGGACCCCAGCGCATGAATTTTGTGCACCAGGCCTCTAGTCTTTAATAAGGGGCCAGGAGCTTTGCCCTTTCTCCACTGACTGCAGCTCTGTCTTCAGTGGCTGGTAACCATGACCATGGTGCTCCTGCTGCCTGGGAAAGCTGTGTGGATATCTCGAGCAGACCTGGAGTCCTGTGGGGTCCGCTCTGGGGCTGAGCTGAGCCATAGAGTGAGGGGCAGGGGAGGGGGGCTGCCAGCCTTGGGCTGGGATCTGAGGCTCCCACCGTGGAGCAGGCAGAAAGGTGTGAGGGTCCATGGAGTGGGGCCAGAATCAAGTGCTGCCAGGGACCTCACAGGAGAGGGCAGCAGCCTCTGCCCTCGGACTTGTGAGAACCAGAGCCCAGACAAGGCCTTACTGGACATGGGGGGAAGGGGATACAAGAAGGGAGGGGATCCAGAGAGCTCTACTGATGAATCCTGTCCCCAGGGAGCCTGTGAACATGGTCGTGACTGTTGGCAACAAGGAAGATGGGATCCTGGCAGGAACGGAAGGAAGGTACTCCTCCATGGCAGCCAGCTTCAGGTGAGGTACTCCAGGAGCTGGGCCATCAGGACCAGGTGCTTCTGCCAGAGCCTGAGGGGAGGATGGGACTCCTGTGGGGAAGGGCTCAGTGAGGAGAGAGGGCGCAGCGAGGGAACTGGTCAGTGATGGGGTTTGATGAGAAATGCAGGTCCATGGGGACAGGACCCAGGTCGGGGATAGGGACTTGGTGGGAGAAGGGGCTCCGTAAGTGGATTGGGGCTCAGGAAGGATGCAGTGGGGAAAAGGGGCTCAACGAGGGAAAGGGACTCTAAAGAGAGGAGTGGGGGGACTCCGTGTGGGAAGAGAGCTCAGTGGGGAGATGGCCTCATTAGGGGGCTCAGTGGTGCCTGTGTGAAGGGGCTCAGTGGAGGGTGTTCAGGAAGGTGGTAATGAGAGACCTTCAGTATCAGGTGTACAAGACCAGATGTGGTCAGGGGAACCCCTTCTGGGACTCAAAAGTCTACTCTGAAAGATACTGTTCTCACAAGTGCAGGATGGGGCAGGGAGAAGGCGATGGGAGGGAAGGTGTAATGACCCCTGTTCCCCTCATTCAGGTCCCACGAGCATGAGAATGCCTATGCAAATGTCTCCGAGGAGGAGGACAAGGTCCGAAGCACCCCCATGTGACCCCACTTGCCTGTGGTCTCCAGCGCTGATCCTGGGCGCCTGTAATCCATGCCATGCCTCTGAGCAGGAATCAACAGGAACAGGCCGACTTCTCCAACTACACCCGCCCCCGCCCTCTCTTGAATCATCCTGACCAACTTCAGAATGCAGACTGTGCCTGGGTTGGGGCTCCACTGTGACTCTGAGGTCTCTTGATGGTGGTGGTGGTGGGGTGTTTCCCACTCAATTCAATTCAGAAGACCCTTCTGAAGGAGACAGTCAGCTCAGCACCTCCCATCCTGCCTACATTTCCTCCCCTTGCTGTGGAAATGGCCTTGTTTCTGTGAATAAAGACTTTTTATACTTCTAAGGCTCCAGGGCTCACAAACAGCCCCCCCAGGCAGCCCCTACCTGGCGTTCTGCATCATGACAATCAGCATCAAAGCTGCTCTCCAGTGTGGCTTGGGAGGGTTACCCAGGAAGCCCTCTCTGGGAGGCCCCGTAGGGCCAGGGAGCTCACCACTCCACCCTTATTCCAGGCAGCACTAACCCCTCCTGCTGGCCTCCATGCTGCCTGGCATTGTGGTGGGTTCACGTATCTCTCACCCATTCAGCTCCACCTCGCTCCTCAAGCCTCTCTGGGTGGGCTTCCTGTATGGGAAGCACCAGGGAAGAGTCTTGGACTAGGGACTTTGGAAGCCCAGATTTGAGTGTCGGCTGCTCCACCAACTCCGTGCTGTGTGACTTTGGGAGAGTCACCGCCCTCGCTGAACTCTGCTTCCCTTCTGGGGCTGGTTTGGCCAGTCTCACCCCAGAACCAGTCCTGGGGTGGGGATGAGTGGGTGGAGTCAGACTCCTGGTGAGAGTGAAGCAGGAAGGAGAGAGGAGGCTGGGCTTAGTTTAGCCAGTTTAGGGCTTAGCCGCTGGCTGACCTTGGAGGCCCCCCACTTCTGTCTGAAACAGCCTCTGTCTCTTTCTGTCTGAGGTGACAACCTGAGTCAGACTCACCTGGGGGAGCACCCCCCAGATGCAGAGGAGTGGGGCTGCAAGGTAGGAGGCAAACCACTTGCCCCCAAGATCTCCCTTTGCCAACTGTTCCAACCCATCACAGCTTCACTTCACTGGTATAAGTGCTGTTCTAAGGCTTCACTCAAATGCCCTGGGAGACCCATCTGAAACCCGGATGGTCCCTTCTCTCCTCCCTGGGGTTTGCAGCTTGCAGCCATGGGGACAACCTAACAGAAGGACAGCGGGGTCTCTGCCCCAGGTTTACCCTTTCTCTGCTGGGTGGACGTGGGCAAATCTCCTCTCCTCTCTGAGCTTCGGCGCAGTGAATTGTGGCGGTAGCTTTGGTGACCCCACCTCTAGGCTTTTGCTCAAGTGATGATTAAGGTGATTTTCAAGTTCACTTCCCTCATGCTCGGAGTATCATGAGCAGAAATACTGCTTGTGAAAACTTCAAGCAGCCACCACCAGGGCGGAGGCCTTCTCACCCACCTCTGCTAGTTTCAACTCTGCATATTCCTTTTTTTCTTGCCCCAGACAAGGTTCGTCTTCCTCTAGGAAGCCTTCCTGGATTAGACCAGAGGGCAGAGCCCGGGGACTGAAGGAGAGAGGGAGGTTCCTAGCAGGCAGAATACCTCTTCTTCATCTCCAGCCTCAAATCTGGACCTTTGGCTGTCTGGATCGGATTCTCCTTGGGTGAAGCTACATTCCCTGCCACTGCTGCCCCCAAGGTGTCCCAAGGGTGGGGTGGGTTTGAGTCTGGTCCTTCCCAGGCCTGCTCGGGCCCAAAGGCAGAGCCACCACCCCTGTGCCTCCTGCCCCTCACCTGTTGGGTTTGACCAGGTGGAAAGGGCTTGCCAGCCCTGCCCTGAGTCCTGGGCCTCCTCAGCTCCCCATGCCGGCAGGACCAGGGTGGTGGGAACTCTGGGAGGTCCCTGCAGGTGCTGGGCTGGCACTGACCTTTCTAACGCCCCCCTCCCTCCTTGTTCCTGCCCTGACAGGGGCAGGGGCAAGGGGCTGTCGCCCGGGAACTGCTGGAGCCCCCAATCGTTATCGCTAGTTCCCACCTGCCCGACGGGCCAGAGGAGGGAGGGAACCGAGGCTGGGCTCGGGCCAGGGCGGCGCTTAATGACCCTCCGGGGGCCTAATCTCAGACAGGCAGCCGCTGAGCGGCTCAGGCTGGCTCCTGGAGGAGGCTGATAACGTACCAGCTGGGCCCCCCACCATCTATCCGGCGGCACAGGCCGTCCCCAGGGGGCGGCGCTCACGGGGCTGGGAGGGAGCCCTTGGGCTGGGACGGAGGAGAGGTGCGCTCTGTTCTCCGGCCCTGGGGGGTAGGTGGGTGGGGGATTCCAAGCTCCGGGAGTGACAGATGAGGGGGCGGGCCCGAGCCCTCGGAGCGGTGGGGTGGGCACGCAGGAAACCCCAAAAGGCAGGTGCTCTTTTCCGCCTTCCCGCTTCCTTCCCATCCTTTTCTCCCCAGTTAGGACTTCTCCACCCGGATCAGCTCTCCCAGCCTTTATCGACCTCCGATCTCTATCACTGTTTCAGTCTCTTCCTGGGTGCGCCTCTTGGCCTTTGTTCTTATCTTTATCTCCTCGCCTCTGTCCCCTCTCCCTAGCTCCCTCCTCCTGAGCTCAGCGCTCTCTGTCCCGTCTTCCATTCATCCTTTCTCTATTTCCAGCTGGTTCTCCCCATTGCTCCCCTCCCACCCCACCCGCTGCATATGCTCAAACTGCCCTGATGTGACTCGTGGGGGCTTGGGGGGGAGTCCCCTCATTGGAGTCTCCCTTCTTTGTGCCGCATCATTTCCGCCCCGTCCCCCCTCCGCGCCCCCCACTCCAGGTACTCGCCAGGCAGAACGCTCAAATGCCCCACACCCTGTCTCCAGGATCATCAGGCTCTCTCTGATTCTCGCTCCTACTCCTTCCTGCAATAGGACTTGCACCTTTCTTTTTCTTTCCCTTCCTAACACGTGTGACTTTCACAGGGTGACATAGCAGATTACACCCACATTCAGGCACTGAAGGCTCCACCCAGGGACTGCAATTCTAAGGCAGATTGCAGCACAGCTTACTTCAATTAGACTCCAAGGGGAACTTCCAGCCTGGAGTTCTGTCTTGAGTGTCACATGTTACATACAGGCCAGAGTGCCAGGCCATCGAGATGATTTTCAAGATTTCTTCACTCATGCTCAGGGTACAGTGAGCAGAAACACTACTTGCTTATTGTGCTTCCAGGAGCCATCAGATCTGGACTAGTGCTGGGCAGTATCCTCTGGCCCAGGGTAGAGGTGAGATGTGGGGTGCAGAGTGTCACTGGGAGTGGATGTGACCCAAGTCACACACACTCAGCCCTGTCCCTTTAGACCCACCTCACTGGTAAGTCAGATGGCTGGAGCTATCAGATCTGACCGGGAGCCTGGACCTCTCCCTCCCAACCCCCCTTCTTCCAGTTTTCAGTCCTTGGAAGTACATATGGTGGCCAAGTCTCTGAGCTTGAGAGTCTTGCAGACTTGGGTTCAGATTCCAGCTGTGGTCCTCACTGCTTGTGGGACCGTTCAGATGCTCCACTAACTTGACAGCAAAACTGGTTCTGTCAGTCTTCCCTGCAGGGCTGCTGAGGGGGGCAGTAAGGAGATAATGCACGTTACTGTGGCACCAGGACTTGCCAGAAGACCATCTAGGCCCAGCTTAGATGTCCCTCCCTCTGGGAAGCTCCTCCCACCACCCCTGAGCTAGGTGCTTTCTCTGGGTTCCCCCTGCCTCCCCCCAACTTGCTGTCTGTTTGCTTGTCTGTGTCCAACTCCAGCCTGATTGCTCTTCAAGGGCAAGAATGGGGTCACTTCCCTCTGTGTGTCACCAGCACCCAGGACAGGTTGAACTCATGGGAAGGAAAGCCCTAGGCTTGGAGAAGAGACTGAAAGGAAGGAAGGAACTAAAGCTCAGCTATCTGTCCATATCTCCATATCTCTCAATCCCACCCAGGTGCATACACACATGGGCACACCCACACACATGTTCTCTCTCTCTCTCTCTCTCTCTCTCTCTCTCTCTCTCTCTCTCTCTCTCTCTCTCTCTCTCTCTCTGTCATTGAGGGTCCTGGGACCAGTGACAAGCTCTTCTGAACATCATTGTTCCTCTGGACTTCAGATTTTTGTTTGTTTGTTTTATTTTCAGATTTTTGTTTTATTTTGTGTCTGTGTCGGGAGATGCTTTCTGTTGGTCTGCCTGTAACCTCTGCTGCCACCTGGTGGCTACACACTTCACAGGAAGAGCTGATTTCAGTGAAGCCTTTGAACTTGAGCTTCAGGTGGGGCTCTTCCCCTTAGGCACTAAGACCAGAGACCCTCCCATGGCTTGTCCCTAGGAACCCCTTCAGGTTGTGCCAGCTCCTTTCTCAGTCTTCCCAAGGACTTCAAGGGCAGCTAGGCCACCAGTGCTCCTCCTTGTGACCCTTTCTCTCAGAAATTGTCAACTCCATCCCGGAGCTCTGGCTTACTCATCTATACATTGGGGCAGTAAATAGGGGCTATCTAATAAGAGATGTTGTGATGGTTCAAAGAAACTGCACATAAAATACGGTACATAGAATAGTGCATTAGCAGGGTGGCTCAGTTGGTTGGAGCATCATCCTGTACACCAAAAGTTTGTGGGTTTGATTCCCAGTCAGAGCACATACCTAAGGTGCAGGTTTGTTGGAGCACATATGGGAAGCAACAATCTCTCTCTTTCTCTCAAAAGCAAAAACAAAAAAACAACAAAAATACATATAATAAAATATGTCCGTGGGTGAGGATTAAAAGAATAGTTCCTAGCACAGTTAGTGCACAATAAATATTAGCAATTGACTTATTATTTTTATTATTATTACATGGATGCAAGACCACAGTGTGTAAGAGCTAGCAAAATCCTTAAGCCCAGCCCATTTTGTACTATGGAACCTGAAGACTTGGATGGGATAGCACTTGCCCAAGTCATGTGGCAAATCAGGTGAGAGGCAGGCCAGAGGCTCTG